GACCCACAGGGACCCCCTCAGCCCCCCAGCAGCGCCTCGGCACAGGGGGCATAGCCCGGGGGGGCACGAAACGGAACTCCCCGTGCCGGCCCCCCAGCAGGAACCGCAGCCTGGGGGGGGACAGAGACCCCCAGTCACCCCCAGACCCACAGGGACCCCCCTAGTGACCCCTGTGACACCCCCAGACCCACAGAACCCACAGGGACCCCCCTCAGGGACCCCCCCAGCAGCGCCTCGGCACGGGGGGCATAGCCCGGGGGGGGCACGAAACGGAACTCCCCGTGCCGGCCCCCCAGCAGGAACTGCAGCCTGGGGGGGGGACAGAGACCCCCAGTCACCCCCAGACCCACAGAACCCACAGGGACCCCCCCAGGGACCCCCAGTCACCCCCAGACCCACAGAACCCACAGGGACCCCCAGGGACCCCAGTCACCCCTAGACCTCAGGCCCCAGGGACCCCAGTCACCCCAGACCCAGCAGAACCACTAGGGACCCCCAGGGACCCAGTCACCCCAGACCCACAGGGACCCCACAGGGACCCCCAGTGCACCCCAGACCCACAGAACCCACAGGGACCCCCCCAGGGACCCCCAGCATTGACCCTCAGCATCCCCCCCCTTCACTGCCCCCCCACCAGGAGCCGCAGCCTGGGGGGATAATGAGGATCCTCTGACACCCCCAGACCCACAGGGACCCCCACAGGGACCCCCAGTCACCCCCAGACCCACAGGGACCCCAGACCCCAGGGACCCCAGCATTGACCCTCAGCATACCCCCTTGCACTGCCCCCAGCAGGAACCGCAGCCTGGGGGGATAATGGGGGTCCTCTGTCACCCCCAGACCCACAGAACCCACAGGGACCCCCAGTCACCCCCAGACCCACAGGGACCTCCCAAGGACCCCTCAGCCCAGCGCCTCGGCACAGGGGGCATAGCCCAGGGGGGGCACGAAACGGAACTCCCCGTGCCGGCCCCCCAGCAGGAACCGCAGCCTGGGGGGATAATGGGGGTCCTCTGTCACCCCCAGACCCACAGAACCCACAGGGACCCCCCCTCAGCCCCCCCAGCAGCGCCTCGGCACAGGGGGCATAGCCCGGGGGCACGAGACGGAACTCCTCGTGCCGGCCCCCAGCAGGAACCGCAGCCTGGGGGGGGACAGAGACCCCCCAGTCACCCCCAGACCCACAGGGACCCCACAGGGACCCCCAGTCACCCCCAGACCCACAGGGACCCCCTAGGGACCCTGTGACACCTAGACCCACAGGGACCCCCAGGGACCCCAGCATTGACCCCAGCATCTCCCCCTTCACTGCCCTCCCAGCAGGAACCGCAGCCTGGGGGGACAGAGACCCCAGTCACCCCCAGACCCACAGGGACACCCACAGGGACCCCACAGAGACCCCCAGTCACCCCAGTCACCCCCAGGCCCACAGAGGCCTCCCAGGGACCCCCAGCATTGACCCTCAGCATCCCCCTTCACTGCCCTCCCAGCAGGAACCGCAGCCTGGGGGGATAATGGGGATCCTCTGACACCCCCAGACCCACAGGGACCCCACAGGACCCCCAGTCACCCCAGTCACCCCTCAGACCCACAGGGACCGCCCAGGGACCCCAGCATTGAGCCCGCAGCATCCCCTCCTTCACTGCCCCCAGCAGGAACCGCAGCCTGGAGGGATAATGGGGATCCTCTGACACCCCAGACCCACAGGGACCCCCCCAGGGACCCCCAGTCACCCCCAGACCCACAGAACCCACAGGGACCCCACAGGGACCCCCACAGGGACCCCCAGACCCACAGAACCCACAGGGACCCCCAGGGACCCCCTCAGCCCCCAGCAGCGCCTCGGCACAGGGGCATAGCCCGGGGGGGCACGAAACAGAACTCCCCGTGCCGGCCCCCAGCAGGAACCACAGCCTGGGGGACAGAGACCCCCAGTCACCCCCAGACCCACAGAACCCACAGGGACCCCCCAGGGACCCCCAGTCAGCCCTCAGGCCCACAGGGACAGCCCAGGGACACGAACCCAGTCACCCCCCAGACCCAGCAGAACCCAGCAGGGACCCGCCAGGGACCCTCAGTCACCCCCAGACCCACAGGGACCCCCAGGGACCCCCAGCATTGACCCCCAGCATCCTCCCTTCACTGCCCCCCCAGCAGGAACTGCAGCCTGGGGGATATAGAGTCCTCTGTCACCCCAGACCCACAGGGACCCCCAGGGACCCCAGTCACCCCAGGACCCCACAGAACCCACAGGCACCCCCAGACCCACAGGACCCCCACAGGGACCCCAGCATCCCCCTTCACTGCCCCCCAGCAGGAACCGCAGCCTGGGGGAGACAAAGACCCCCCATCACCCCTAGACCCACAGAGACCCCCCAGGACCCCCAGTCACCCCCAGACCCACAGGGACCCCCAGGAACCCCTGTCACCCCAGACCCCACAGGGACCCCCAGCCCCTCCAAAATGGGAAGACCCCCTCAAATACCCCCTTAAGGACCCCGATCTCCTCATTGAAGGGTCCCACTCCCCAGACCCCCCCCAGCCCCCACTTAGGGGTCCCAGTGGCCCTTTCAAGACCCCCCCATAATTTCAGGGTGACCCCCCCCTCCTTACCGGACCCCCGCCGAAAAACTGGCCACGGGGGTGAAGAGGGTGTCGAGGTTGAAGCCCTCGAGGACCCCCTGCACGGGGGCCCCGTTGAGGCGGAACGAGGCGCTGGGGACCCCCAAATCCAGGCAGCAGCTGACCACATCCCCCTCGGCCAGGGCCCGCCGGTGGGGGGACCCCACGGCCTTGGGGACCCCTCCTGGGGGGCACAGAGGGGGTTATTGGGGTCAGGGAGGGTTATTTGGGGTCAGAGGGGTGGGTGGGACCCCCAAATCCAGGCAGCAGCTGACCACGGCCCCCTCGGCCAGGGGCCAGCCGGTGGGGGACCCACGGCCTTAGGGACCCCTCCTGGGAGGCACAGAGGGGCTTAGTGGGGTCAGGGGGTTGTTGGGGTCAGGGAGGGTTATTGGGGTCAGGGGTGGGTGGGACCCCCAAATCCAGGCAGCAGCTGACCACGTCCCCTCGGCCAGGGCCCGCCGGTGGGGGACCCCACGGCCTTGAGGACTCCTCACCAGGAGGCACAGGGGGTTATTGGGGTCAGGATGGGTGGGACCCCCAAATCCAGGCAGCAGCTGACCACGTCCCCTCGGCCAGAGCCCACCGGGTGGGGGACCCCACGGCCTTGGGGACCCCTCCTGGGGACACAGAGGGGTTACTGGGGTTGGGGGGCGTTATTGGGAGTCAGGGAGGGGCTATTTGGGGTCAGAGGGTGGGTGGGACCCCAAATCCAGGCAGCAGCTGACCACATCCCCCTTGGCCAGAGCCCGCCGGTGGGGGACCCACGGCCTTGGGGACCCTCTCTGGGGGCACACAGGGGTTAGTGGGGTCAGGGGGAGTTATTGGGGTCAGGAGATTGGGGGGACCCCAAATCCAGGCAGCAGCTGACCACGTCCCCCTCAGCCAGGGCCTGCCGGTGGGGGACCCCACGGCCTGGGGACCCCTCGGGGCACAGAGGGGTCAGGGGGTTATTGGGGTCAGGGGGAGTTATTGGAGTCAGGGGTGGGTGGGACCCCAAATCCAGGCAGCAGCTGACCACGTCCCCTCGGCTCAGGGCCCGCCGGTGGGGGGACCCCACGGCCTTGGGGACCCCTCCTGGGGGCACACAGGGGTTATTGGGGTCAGGGGGGTTATTGGGGTCAGGGGAGGGTATTGGGGTCAGGGGGTGGGTGGGACCCCAAATCCAGGCAGCAGCTGACCACGTCCCCTCGGCCAGGGCCCGCCGGTGGGGACCCCACGGCCTTGGGGACCCTCCCTGGGGGCACAGAGGGGTTATTGGGGTCAGGGGGATGGGTGGGACCCCCAAATCCAGGCAGCAGCTGACCACGTCCCCCGGCCAGAGGCCCGATGGTGGGGACCCCACGGCCTTGGGGACCCTCCTGGGGCACACAGGGTTAGTTGGGGTCAGGGGGTTATTGGGGTCAGGGGGGTGAGAGGACCCCCAAATCCAGGCAGCAGCTGACCACGTCCCCCTCGGCCAGGGCCCGCCGGGGGGGACCCCACGGCCTTGGGGACCTCCTCCTGGGGGCACAGAGGGGTTATTGGGGTCGGGGGGTTGTTGGGGTCGGGGGGAGTTTTTGGGGTCAGAGGGATGGGGTACTCTCTGTGGGGTGGTCCTGGTGCTCAGGGGGAAATGGGGGGGGTTCTCTGTGGGGTGGTCCTGGTGCTCAGGGGGGTCAGAGGGTTCTCTCTGTGGGGTGGTCCCAGTGCTCAGGGGGTCTCTCTGTGGGGTGGTCCCAGTGCTCAGGGGGATCAGAGGGTTCTCTGTGGGGTGGTCCCGGTGCTCAGGGGGTCTCTCCATGGGGCAGTCCTGGTGCTCAGGGGGGTCAGAGGTGCTCTCTATGGGGTGGTCCCATTGCTCAGGGGGTCTCTCTGTGGGGTGATCCCATTGCTCAGGGGGGTTGGGGTGCTCTATGTAGGGTGATCCCGGTGCTCAGGGGGGTCAGAGGGTTCTCTGTGGGGTGGTCCCATTGCTCAGGGGGATTGGGGTGCTCTCTGTGGGGTGGTCCCATTGCTCAGGGAGGGTGGGGGTCTCTCTGTGGAGTGGTCCCATTGCTCAGGGGGGTCAGAGGGTTCTCTGTGGGGTGGTCCCGGTGCTCAAGGGATTTGGGGTGCTCTCTGTGGGGCGGTCCCAGTGCTCAAGGGATTTGGAGTACTCTCTGTGAGGTGGTCCCGGTGCTCAGGGGGGTCAGAGAGTTCTCTGTGGGGTGGTCCTGGTGCTCAGGGGGTCTCTCCATGGGGCAGTCCCATTGCTCAGGGAGGGCGGGGGTCTCTCCATGGGGCAGTCCCATTGCTCAGGGGGTCTCTGTGGGGCAGTCCCATTGCCCAGGGGGTTTGGGGGTTTCTCTCTGTGGGGTGGTCCCGGTACTGAGGGGGTCTCTCCATGGGGCAGTCCCATTGCTCAGGGAGGGGGTCAGGGGGTCTCTCCGTGGGGCAGTCCCATTGCTTAGGGGCTGGGAGGTTCTGTCTGTGGGTGGTCCTGGTGCTCAGAGGGTTTGGGGGGTTCTCTGTGGGGTGGTCCCGATGCTCAGGGAGGGCGGGGGTCTCTCCGTGGGGCACTCCCATTGCTCAGGGGGGCCAGAGGTTTCTCTGTGGGGTGGTCCCATTGCTCAGGGAGGGCGGGGGTCTCTCCATGGGGCAGTCCCGGTGCTCAGGGGGTCTCTCCATGGGGCAGTCCCATTGCTCAGGGAGGGCGGGGGTCTCTCCGTGGGGCAGTCCTGGTGCTCAGGGGGGTCAGAGGGTTCTCTGTGGGGTGGTCCCAGTGCTCAGGGGGCTTGGAGGGTCTCTCTGTGGGGCGGTCCCAGTGCTCAGGGGGTCTCTCTGTGGGGTGGTCCCATTGCTCAGGGGGGTCAGAGGTGCTCTCTATGGGGTGGTCCTGGTGCTCAGGGGGTCTCTCCGTGGGGCAGTCCCATTGCTCAGGGGGGTTGGGGTGCTCTCTATGAGGTGGTCCCAATGCTCAGGGGGTCTCTCCGTGGGGCAGTCCCATTGCTCAGGGAGGGTGGGGGTCTCTCCATGGGGCACTCCCATTGCTCAGGGGGGTGAGAGGGTTCTCTGTGGGGTGGTCCTGGTGCTCAGGGGGTCTCTCCATGGGGTGGTCCCGGTGCTCAGGGGGTCTCTCTGTGGGGTGGTCCTGGTGCTCAGGGGGTCTCTCCATGGGGCAGTCCCATTGCTCAGGGGGTTTAGGGGGTCTGTCTGTGGGATGGTCCCATTGTTCAGGGGGTCTCTCCATGGGGCAGTCCCATTGCTCAGGGGGTTTGGGGTGCTCTCTGTGGGGTGGTCCCGGTGCTCAGGGGGTTGGGGTGTTCTGTCTGTGGGGTGGTCCCGGTGCTCAGGGGGGTTGGGGTGCTCTCTGTGGGGTGGTCCCAGTGCTCAGGGGGGTCAGGGGGTCTCTCCATGGGGCAGTCCCATTGCTCAGGGGGGTCAGAGGGTTCTCTCTGGGGTGGTCCCGGTGCTCAGGGGGTCTCTCCATGGGGCAGTCCCATTGCTCAGGGGGGTCAGAGGTGCTCTCTATGGGGTGGTCCTGGTGCTCAGGGGGTCTCTCTGTGGGGTGGTCCCAGTGTTCAGGGGGTCTCTCCATGGGGTGGTCCCATTGCTCAGGGAGGGTGGGGGTCTCTCCATGGGGCAGTCCCATTGCTCAGGGGGGTCAGAGGTGCTCTCCATGGGGCAGTCCCATTGCTCAGGGGGGTTGGGGGGTTCTGTCTGTGGAGTGGTCCTGGAGCTCAGGGGGTCTCTCCGTGGGGCAGTCCCATTGCTCAGGGAGGGTGGGGGTCTCTCCATGGGGCACTCCCATTGCTCAGGGGGGTCAGAGGGTTCTCTGTGGGGTGGTCCCATTGCTCAGGCAGGGTGGGGGTCTCTCCATGGGGCAGTCCCATTGCTCAGGGGGTCTCTCCGTGGGGCAGTCCCATTGCTCAGGGAGGGCAGGGGTCTCTCCATGGGGCACTCCCATTGCTCAGGGGGTCAGAGGGTTCTCTGTGGGGTGGTCCTGGTGCTCAGGGGGTTGGGGTTCTGTCTGTGGGGTGGTCCCGGTGTTCAGGGGTCTCTCTGTGGGGTGGTCCTGGTGCTCAGGGGGTCAGGGGTCTCTCCGTGGGGCAGTCCCATTGCTAAGGGGGGTTGGGAGGTTCTGTCTGTGGGGTGGTCCCGGTGCTCAGAGGGTTTGGGGTGCTCTCTGTGGGGTGGTCCTGGTGTTCAGGGGGTCTCTCTGTGGGGCAATCCCATTGCTCAGGGAGGGGGTCAGGGGGTCTCTCTGTGGGATGGTCCCAGTGCTCAGGGGGTCTCTCAGGGGGGTCAGAGGGTTCTCTGTGGGGCTCTGGGGTGGTCACCCCCCCACCCCACCCTCACCTGTCCACAGGTGGAGGCCGTCGAAGGCGAAGGAGTGGAGGTCGTCTCCGGCGCCGTTGCCCCCCCAGCCGGCGCCGCCGCCCGGGGCGGGCCGGAAGGAGCCGGCGGCCCCCCAGCCCACGCGCAGGTGGGTGGGCTGCGGGGTCACGAAGGGCTGGGCCCGCTCCACGCACACCTCGAAGTACCAGCAGCGGAACTGCGTCGAGCCCGGCGCCGTCCCCACAAACAGGTTGGGACGGATGCTGGAACCGGGGCGAGGAAAGGGAGGGGTCAGGGACCCCTGAAACCCACCCCAAGGAGCAGCAAATCCACCCCAAGGAGCAGCAAATCCACCCCAAGGAGCAGTAAATCCAACCCCAGGGCCACCCAGAGACCCCGAAACCCACCCCAAGGAGCAGTAAATCCACCCCCAGGGCCACCCAGAGACTCCCAGAAGCAGCAAACCCACCCCCAGGAGCAGTAAATTCACCCCCAGGAGCAGGAAATCCACCCCAGGGCCACCCAGAGACCCCAAAACCTACCCCCAGGGCCAGCAAATCCACCCCCAGGGGCACCAAATCCACCCCCAGGAGCAGCAAATCCACCCCAGGGCCACCCAGAGACCCCCAGGGCCACCCAGAGACCCCAAAACCTAACCCCAGGACCAGCAAATCCAACCCCAGGGCCATCCAGAGACCCCCAGGGCCATCCAGAGACCCCCAGGGCCACCCAGAGACCCCCAGGGCCACCCAGAGACTCTAAAACCCACCCCCAGGACCAGCAAACCCACCCCAAGGGCATCCAGAGACCCCCAGGGCCACCCAGAGACCCCAAAACCCAACCCCAGGAGCAGCAAATCCACCCCCAGGGGCACCAAATCCACCCCCAGGAGCAGCAAATCCACCCCAGGGCCACCCAGAGACCCCCAGGGCCACCCAGAGACCCCAAAACCTAACCCCAGGAGCAGCAAATCCACCCCCAGGGGCAGCAAATCCACCCCCAGGGGCACCAAATCCACACCCAGGAGCAGCAAATCCAACCCCAGGGGCACCCAGAGACCCCCAGGGCCACCCAGAGACCCGAAAACCCACTCCCAGGAGCAGCAAACCCACCCCTAGGGCACCCAGAGACCCCCAGGGCCACCCAGAGACCCCAAAACCCACCCCCAGGACCAGGAAACCCACCCCAAGAGCATCCAGAGACCCCCAGGGCCACCCAGAGACCCCCAAACCCACCCCCAGGAGCAGCAAATCCTCCCCAGGGCCACCCAGAGACCCCCAAACCCACCCCCAGGACCAGGAAACCCACCCCAAGGGCATCCAGAGACCCCCAGGGCCACCCAGAGACCCCCCAGGAGCAGCCCCAGAGACCCCCAGGGCTCCCTGAGCACCTGCAGCCCCCCATGGCCATCCAGCAGCCCCCCAGGTGCCCCTCCAAGCCCACCTGGTGCCGTAGTTGCCCCCTTTCAGCCCACCTGGTGCCGATAGCTGCCCCCTGGTGCCCCCAAGCCCCCAGGTGCCCCCAAGCCCACCTGGCGCCGTAGCTGCCCCCAGAGCCCCCACCAGCCCACCTGGTAAAATAGTTGCCCTCCCAAGCCCACCTGGTGATGTAGTTTCCCCAAGCCCACCTGGTGCAGTAGTTGCCCCCAGGTGCCCTCCCAAGACCCCCAGGTGTCCCCTCAAGCCCCCCAGGTGCCCCCTTTCAGCCCACCTGGTGCAGTAGTTGCCCTCAGGTGCCCCCCAAACCCACCTGGTGCCATAGCTGCCCCCCAGGTGCCCCCTAAGCCCACCTGGTGCCGTAGTTGCCCCCAAACCCACCTGGTGCCATAGTTGCCCCCAGGTGCCCCCCAGCCCACCTGGTGCCGTAGTTGCCCCCCAGGTGCCCCCAAGCCCACCTGGTGCCATAGTTGCCCCCTTTCAGCCCACCTGGTGCTGTAGTTGCCCCCCAGGTGCCCCTCCAAGCCCACCTGGTGCCGTAGTTGCCCCCTGGTGCCTCCCTAAGCCCCCAGGTGCCCCCAAGCCCACCTGGTGACATAGTTGCCCCTCAAGCCCACCTGGTGCCGTAGTTGCCCCTGGTGCCCCTGCCCCCGGTGCCCAAGCCCACCTGGTGCCACAGGTGCCCCCAAGCCCACCTGGTGACATAGTTGCCCCCTAAGCCCACCTGGTGCCGTAGCTGCCCCTGGTGCCCCCCAAGCCCCCAGGTGCCCCCCGCCCACTGGTGACATAGCTGCCCCCAAGCCCACCTGGTGACGTAGTTGACCCCTGGTGCCCCCAAGTCCCCCAGGTGCCCCCAAGCCCACCTGGTGACATAGTTGCCCCCAAACCCACCTGGTGCCGATGTTGCCCCCAGGTGCCCCCAAGCCCCCCAGGTGTCCCCTCAAGCCCACCTGGTGCCGATGTTGCCCCCCAAGCCCCCCAGGTGCCCCCCCAAGCCCACCTGGTGCCGTAGTTGCCCCCCAGGTGCCCCCCAAGCCCACCTGGTGACGTAGTTGACCATGCCGGTCTGCAGCAGCAGGTCCCGCCGGGGCAGCAGGTTCTCGGTGATCAGGTTCTGGTTGGAGCGCACGGCCACGGCGTTGCACACGCACAGCGAGCACAGCACCTCCAGCACCTGCACAATGGCACACCTGGGCACACCTGGGCACACCTGGGCACAGCTGGGAACACCTGGGAACAGCTGGGAACACCTGAGTGCACCTGGGAACAGCTGGGAACAACTGGGAACAGCTGGGAACAGTTGGGTGTTGCACACGCACAGCGAGCACAGCACCTCCAGCACCTGCCAAATGGCACACCTGGGCACACCTGAGTGCACCTGGGCACACCCGGGAACAGCTGAGTGCACCTGGGAGCAACTGGGAACAGCTGGGAACATCTGGGTACAGCTGGGAACAGCTGGGTGTTGCACACGCACAGCGAGCACAGCACCTCCAGCACCTGCACAATGGCACACCTGGGCACACCTGGGCACACCTGGGAACACCTGGGTGCACCTGGGTACACCTGGGCACAGCTGGGCACAGCTGGGTGTTGCACACGCACAGCGAGCACAGCACCTCCAGCACCTGCAGAATGGCACACCTGGGCACACCTGGGCACACCTGGGTGCACCTGGGAACAGCTGGGAGCAACTGGGCACACCTGGGCACACCTGGGAACACCTGGGTACACCTGAGTGCACCTGGGCACACCTGGGTGCACCTGGGAACAACTGGGAACAGCTGGGAACAGCTGGGTGTTGCACACGCACAGCGAGCACAGCACCTCCAGCACCTGCCAAATGGCACACCTGGGCACACCTGGGCACACCTGGGCACACCTGGGTGCACCTGGGTACAGCTGGGAACAACTGGGAACACCTGGGCACACCTGGGTGCACCTGGGAACAGCTGGGCGTTGCACACGCACAGCGAGCACAGCACCTCCAGCACCTGCAGAATGGCACACCTGAGCACACCTGGGCACACCTGGGTACACCTGGGTGCACCTGGGAGCAACTGGGAACAGCTGGGTGCACCTGGGAACACCTGGGAACACCTGGGAACAGCTGGGTGCACCTGGGCACACCTGAGTGCACCTGGGCACAGCTGGGCACAGCTGGGTGTTGCACACGCACAGCGAGCACAGCACCTCCAGCACCTGCACAATGGCACACCTGGGCACACCTGGGCACACCTGGGCACACCTGAGTGCACCTGGGAACAGCTGAGTGCACCTGGGAGCAACTGGGTACAGCTGGGAGCAACTGGGAACAGCTGGGAACAGCTGGGTGTTGCACACGCAGAGCGAGCACAGCACCTCCAGCACCTGCCAAATGGCACACCTGGGCACACCTGGGCACACCTGGGCACACCTGGGAACAGCTGAGTGCACCTGGGCACAGTTGGGAACAGCTGGGAACAGCTGGGAACAGCTGGGAACAGCTGGGTGTTGCACACGCACAGCGAGCACAGCACCTCCAGCACCTGCAGAATGGCACACCTGGGCACACCTGGGCACACCTGGGCACACCTGGGTACACCTGGGTACAGCTGGGAACAACTGGGAACAGCTGGGAACAACTGGGAACACCTGGGTGTACCTGGGTGTTGCACACGCACAGCGAGCACAGCACCTCCAGCACCTGCCAAATGGCACACCTGGGCACACCTGGGCACACCTGGGTACACCTGGGTACAGCTGGGAACAGCTGGGAACAGCTGGGTACAGCTGGGCACAGCTGGGTGCACCTGGGAACAGCTGGGTGTTGCACACGCACAGCGAGCACAGCACCTCCAGCACCTGCCAAATGGCACACCTGGGCACACCTGGGCACACCTGGGCACAGCTGGGAACAGCTGGGAACAGCTGGGTGCACCTGGGAACAGCTGGGTGCACCTGGGAACAGTTGGGTGCACCTGGGAACAGTTGGGTGCACCTGGGAACAGTTGGGTGTTGCACACGCACAGCGAGCACAGCACCTCCAGCACCTGCCAAATGGCACACCTGAGCACACCTGGGCACACCTGGGCACACCTGAGCACACCTGGGCACAGCTGGGAACAACTGGGAACAGCTGGGTGTTGCACACGCACAGCGAGCACAGCACCTCCAGCACCTGCACAATGGCACACCTGGGCACACCTGGGCACACCTGGGTGCACCTGGGCACAGCTGGGAACAGCTGGGCACAGTTGGGTGTTGCACACGCACAGCGAGCACAGCACCTCCAGCACCTGCAGAATGGCACACCTGGGCACACCTGGGCACACCTGGGAACACCTGGGTGCACCTGGGAACAGCTGGGCACAGTTGGGCGTTGCACACGCACAGCGAGCACAGCACCTCCAGCACCTGCACAATGGCACACCTGGGCACACCTGGGCACACCTGGGCACAGCTGGGTGCACCTGGGAACACCTGGGCACACCTGGGCACACCTGGGCACACCTGGGAACACCTGGGCACAGCTGGGTGCACCTGGGAACAGTTGGGTGCACCTGGGAACAGTTGGGTGTTGCACACGCACAGGGAGCACAGCACCTCCAGCACCTGCCAAATGGCACACCTGGGCACACCTGGGCACACCTGGGCACAGCTGGGAACACCTGGGAACAGCTGGGTGCACCTGGGAACAGTTGGGTGTTGCACACGCACAGCGAGCACAGCACCTCCAGCACCTGCACAACGGTACACCTGGGCACACCTGGGCACACCTGGGAACAGCTGGGCACACCTGGGTACAGCTGGGTGCACCTGGGAACACCTGGGAACACCTGGGTACAGCTGGGTGCACCTGGGTACAGCTGGGTGCACCTGGGCACACCTGGGAACACCTGAGTGCACCTGGGAACAGCTGGGAACAGCTGGGAACACCTGGGTACAACTGGGTGCCCCTGGGCACAGTTGGGCATTGCACACGCACAGCGAGCACAGCACCTCCAGCACCTGCACAATGGCACACCTGGGCACACCTGGGCACACCTGAGTGCACCTGGGCACAGCTGGGCACAGCTGGGTACACCTGGGTACAGCTGGGAACAGCTGGGCACAGCTGGGTGTTGCACACGCACAGCGAGCACAGCACCTCCAGCACCTGCAGAATGGCACACCTGGGCACACCTGGGCACACCTGAGTGCACCTGGGCACAGCTGGGTGCACCTGGGAACAGCTGGGCACAGCTGGGTACACCTGGGAACACCTGGGAACAGCTGAGAACAACTGGGGAACACCTGAGCAGAGCTGGGCACACCTGAGTGCACGTGGGCACACATGGGTGCACCTGAGCAGACCTGGGCACAGCTGGGCACACCTGAGCACAGCTGGGCACACGACCACACCTAGGCACACTCAAGCACACCTGGGCACACCTGGGCACACTTGAGCACACCTGGGCACTCCTGGGAACATCTGAGCACACTCGAGCACACCTGAGCACAGCTGGGCACAGCTGGGCACAGGACCACACCTAGGCACACTCGAGCACACCTGGGCACTCCTGGGCACACCTGGGAACAGCTGGGCACACCTGGGAACATCTGAGCTCACCTGAGCACAGCTGAGCACACCTGGGCACAGCTGGGCACAACTGGGCACAGGACCACACCTAGGCACACTCGAGCACACCTGGGCACTCCTGGGCACACCTGGGCACACCTGGGCACACCTGAGCACAGCTGGGCACAACTGGGCACAGGACCACACCTGGGCACACCTGAGCACACCTGAGCTCACCTGGGCACACCTGGGCACACCTGAGCACACCTGAGTGCACCTGGGCACACCTGAGGACACCTGAGCTCACCTGAGCACAGCTGGGCACATGACCACACCTAGGCACACTCAAGCACACCTGGGCACACCTCACCTCACCTGGGCACACCTGAGCACACCTGGGCACAGCTGGGCACAGGACCACACCTAGGCACACTCAAACACACTTGGGCACACCTGAGCACACCTGGGCACACCTGAGCACACCTGGGCACAGCTGGGCACACGACCACATCGAGGCACACTCAAGCACACCTGGGCACAGCTGGGCACACTCAGGCACACCTGAGCACACCTGGGCACACCTGAGCACACCTGAGCTCACCTGGCACACCTGGGCACAGGACCACACCAAGGCACACTCGAGCACACCTGGGCACACCTGGGCACCCCCCGGGGGACCCACCTTGTGGTTGCGGCCGTGCTTGTCGAGCAGGGAGATGATGGACTTGATGTGGTTCTCCTGGATGATGTTGAGCACCTCGGGGCTCTCGATCAGCACGCAGTACAGCACCTCCAGGATACCTGTGGAGACCCCAGACCCATGGCAGGACCCCAGACCCACAGCAGGGACCCCAGACCCACGGGAGAGACCCCAGACCCACGGCAGAGACCCCAGACCCACAGCAGGGACCCCAGACCCACGGGAGGGACCCCAGAGAGCACCTCGGGGCTCTCCATCAGCACGCAGTACAGCACCTCCAGGATACCTGTGGGGACCCCAGACCCATGGCAGGGACCCCAGACCCACAGCAGAGACCCCAGACCCACAGCAGGGACCCCAGACCCACAACAGGGACCCCTGACCCACAGGAGAGACCCCAGAGAGCACCTCGGGGCTCTCAATCAGCACGCAGTACCAGCACCTCCAGGATACCTGTGGGACCCCAGACCCATGGCAGGGACCCCAGACCCACGGGAGAGACCCCAGACCCACGGGAGAGACCCCAGACCCACAGGAGAGACCCCAGACCCACGGGAGGGACCCCAGAGAGCAGCTCGGGGCTCTCGATCAGCACGCAGTACAGCACCTCCAGGATACCTGTGGGGACCCCAGACCCATGGCAGAGGACCCCAGACCCACAGGAGACCCGACCCATGGAGACCCGACCCAGCACGGACCCCAGACCCACAACAGGGACCCCTGACCCACAGCAGAGACCCCAGAGAGCACCTCGGGGCTCTCGATCAGCACGCAGTACAGCACCTCCAGGATACCTGCGGGGACCCCAGACCCATGGCAGGGACCCCAGACCCACAGGAGAGACCCCAGACCCATGGGAGGGACCCCAGACCCACGGCAGAGACCCCAGACCCACAGCAGGGACCCCAGACCCACGGGAGAGACCCCAGAGAGCACCTCGGGGCTCTCGATCAGCACGCAGTACAGCACCTCCAGGATACCTGTGGGGACCCCAGACCCATGGCAGAGACCCCAGACCCACAGGAGAGACCCCAGACCCATGGCAGAGGACCCCAGACCCACAGCAGAGACCCCAGACCCACACCAGGGACCCCAGAGAGCACCTCGGGGCTCTCGATCAGCACGCAGTACAGCACCTCCAGGATACCTGTGGGGACCCCAGACCCATGGCAGAGACCCCAGACCCACAGGAGAGACCCCAGACCCACGGGAGAGACCCCAGACCCACAGCAGGGACCCCAGACCCACGGGAGAGACCCCAGAGAGCACCTCGGGGCTCTCAATCAGCACGCAGTACAGCACCTCCAGGATACCTGTGGAGACCCCAGACCCATGGCAGGGACCCCAGACCCACAGGAGAGACCCCAGACCCATGGCAGGGACCCCAGACCCACAGGAGAGACCCCAGACCCACGGGAGGGACCCCAGACCCACGGGAGGGACCCCAGAGAGCACCTCGGGGCTCTCGATCAGCACGCAGTACAGCACCTCCAGGATACCTGCGGGGACCCCAGACCCATGGCAGGGACCCCAGACCCACAGCAGGGACCCCAGACCCACGGGAGGGACCCCAGACCCACAGGAGAGACCCCAGACCCACGGGAGGGACCCCAGACCCACGGGAGAGACCCCAGAGAGCACCTCGGGGCTCTCGATCAGCACGCAGTACAGCACCTCCAGGATACCTGTGGGGACCCCACACCCATGGCAGGGACCCCAGACCCACGTGAGGCTCCCCAGCCCCCAGGAGCCCTCAGGAGCCCCCGGCCCCACTGACCCGAGGGAGGCCTCGAGCCGGTCCAGTTTGCTGACCAGCCAGTCCAGGTTGGTGGAGAACAGGGCGCAGTTGGCTCGGTTACCCCGGATCAGCGAGGCTGGGGGGGCACAGGGGGGGGTCAGTGACCCACAACCCTGCCCCACAGGGACCCCCAGACCCACAGGGAACCACCCTGACCCCACAGGGACCTCACCCTGTGCCCTAGAGGACCCCCAGACCCACAGGGACCCCACCCAGTCCCACAGACACCCCCAGACCCACAGGGACCCCACCCTGCCCCACAGGGACCCCCACCCTGAACCCACAGGGACCCCACCCAGTCCCGTAGACACCCCCAAACCCACAGGGACCCCACCCAGTCCCACAGGGACCCCAGGACCCACAGGGACCCCACCCTGCCCCACAGACACCCCCAGACCCACAGACACCCCCAGACCCACAGGGACCCCACCCTGCCCCACAGGGACCCCAGACCTGCCCCACAGACACCCCCAGACCCACAGACACCCCCAGACCCACAGGGACCCCACCCTGCCCCACAGACACCCCCAGACCTGCCCCACAGACACCCCCAGACCCACAGGGACCCCACCCTGCCCCACAGGGACCCCCTCGGACCCACAGGGACCCCCTGAACCACAGGGATCTCACCCTGCCCCACAGGGACCCCCGGACCCACAGGGACCCCACCCTGCCCCACAGGGACCCCCTGACCCCACAGGGATCCCCAGAGCCACAGGGACCCCACCCTGTCCCACAGGGACCCCCTGAACCCACAGGGACCCCACCCTGCCCCACAGGGACCCCCAGAACCCACAGGACCCCACCCTGCCCCACAGACAGTCCCAGACCCACAGGGACCCCACCCTGCCCCACAGACACCCCCAGACCCACAGGGACCCCACCCAGTCCCACAGGGACCCCCAGACCCACAGGGACCTCACCCAGTCCCACAGACACCCCCAGACCCACAGGGACCCCACCCTGCCCCACAGGGACCCTACATTTGCCCCACAGGTCCCCCCATCCACCCCCAGCCCCCCAGCCCCACCCAGCAGCTCGTGAGAGCAGGTTGACCTCCCACCCCACGGCCCCTGTCCCACCCCACAGACCCCATACCTGCCCCACAGACCCCATAAACACCCCCAGCACCCCATAAACACCCGTGGAGCCCCCCCAGGCCCCCCAGGTGCCCCCAGCCCCACCCAGCAGCTCGTAGAGCAGGTTGACCTCCACCCCACGGCCCCACAGTCCCAACCCCACAGACCCCATAAACTACCCCACTAGCACCCCATAAACACCCCATATCTGCCCCACAGCACCCCATAAACACCCCCAGCACCCCATAAACACCCCCATGGAGCCCAGGTCCCCAGGTGCCCCAGCCCCACCCAGCAGCTCGAGAGCAGGTTGACCCTCCCACCCCACAGACCCCATATCGACCCCATAGACCCCATAAACACCCCATAAACACCCCATAAACACCCCCCAGCACCCCATAAACACCCCGTGGAGCCCCCCCAGGTGCCCCCAGCCCCACCCAGCAGCTCGTAGAGCAGGTTGACGATCTCCTTCCAGGCGGCCGCCGCCTCCTCGCCCGCGGCCTCCCCGAACTGCGCCGCGGTGCTGTAGGCGCTCAGCCCGTCGATGCAGCTCAGCACCAGCGTCAGCATCCCCTGGGACATTGGGGACACGTCAGAGACCCCCGTGGGACCCCCAGGATCCCCCCCAGGATCCCTCACTGACACCCCCAAAACGGGACCCCCGTGCCCCCTCCCCGAACTGCGCCGCGGTGCTGCAGGCGCTCAGCCCGTCGATGCAGCTCAGCACCAGCGTCAGCATCCCCTGGGACATTGGGGACACGTCAGAGACCCCCCCTGGGACCCCCAGGATCCCCCAGGATCCCCTCCCCCCCAGGACCCCTGACACCCCAAAACGGGACCCCTGTGCCCCTCCCGAACTGGGCCATGGTGCTGCAGGCGCTCAGCCCGCCGATGCAGCTCAGCACCAGCGTCAGCATCCCCTGGGATGGAGGGGGGATCATCAGAGACCCCCCTGGGACCCCCAGGATCCCCCCAGAATTCCTCAGGGACCCCCAAAACGGGACCCCGTGCCCCCTCCCCAAACTGCGCCGTGGTGCTGCAGGTGCTCAGCCCGTCGATGCAGCTCAGCACCAGCGTCAGCATCCCCTGGGACATTGGGGACACGTCAGAGACCCCCCCTGGGACCCCCAGGATCCCCCCCCAGGATCCCCCAGCAGCATCCCCTGGGACAGGGCACCAGAGATCGGGACCCCCAGGATCCCAGACCTCCACGGACCCCCAAAACAGGACCCCATGCCCCTCCCCGAACTGGGCTGTGGTGCTGCAGGTGCTCAGCCCGTCGATGCAGCTCAGCACCAGCGTCAGCATCCCCTGGGATGGAGGGGGATCATCAGAGAACCCCCCTGGGACCCCCAGGATCCCCCCAGGATCCCCCTGACACCCCCAAAACTGGGACCCCGTGCCCCCTCCCCGAACTGCGCCGCGGTGCTGCAGGCGCTCAGCCCGTTGATGCAGCTCAGCACCAGCTTCAGCATCCCCTGGGATGGAGGGGGAATCATCAGAGACCCCCGTGGGACCCCCAGGATCCCCCCAGGACCCCCAGGATTCCTCCTGGGACCCCAAACTGGGACCCCCCAAACTGGGACCAGTGTCAGCATCCCCCGAGGCACGGGGGGCATATCAGAGCCCCACCCCCTGGCCCCACCAATCCCCAGGACCCCCCTGGGACCCCCATGATTTGGGGGTGGTCCCGGGGGTCCCCTGCCACGTGGGGATGGTCAGGGGGGTACCCTGGCTGTGGGGGCAATCACAGGGGTCCCCCAACTGTGGGGGTGGTCCTGGGGGTCCCCCGGCTGTGGGGGTGGTCCCAGGGGTCCCCTGCCACGTGGGGGTGGTCCCGGGGGTCCCCTGCCCTGTGGGGATGGTCAGGGGGGTCCCCTGCCCTGTGGGGGTGGTCAGGGGGGTCCCCTGCCACGTGGGGGTGGTCCCAGGGGTCCCCCAGCTGTGGGTTAGTCCAGGGGGTTCCCTGGCTGTGGGGGTGGTCCCAGGGGTCCCCCGGCTATGGGGGTGGTCCTGGGGGTCCCCTGCCACGTGGGGGTGGTCCTGGGGGTCCCCTGCCCTGTGGGGATGGTCAGAGGGGTCCCCTGGCTGTGGGGTTGGTCCTGGGGGTCCCCTGCCATGTGGAGGTGGTGCCAGGGGTCCCCTCCAATGTGGGGGTGGTCCCGGGGGTCCCTTGCCATGTGGGGTGGTCCTGGGGGTCCCCTGGCTGTGGGGATGGTCCTAGGGGGGTCCCCTGGCTGTGGGGATGTGGTCCCGGCGGTCCCCCTGCCGTGTGGGGTGGTCTGGGGTCCTGGCTGTGGGGGTGGTCCCGGGGTCCCTGCCACGTGGGGGTGGTCCCAGGGGTCCCCTGCGCTGTGGGGGTGGTCCTGGGGATCCCCTAGCCCTGTGGGGGTGGTCCTGGGGGTCCCCCGGCTGTGGGGTGTGGTCCCTAGGGGGTCCCCCTGCCCTGTGGGGATGGTCAGGGGGTCCCCTGCCATGGGGGTGGTCCTGGGGTCCCCTCCCATGTGGGGTTGGTCCCGGGGGTCCCCTGCCATGTGGGGGTGGTCAGGGGGTCCCCTGGCTGTGGGGGTGGTCCTGGGGGTCCCTTGCCACATGGGGGGGGTCCTGGGGGTTCCCCCTGTGGGGGTGGTCCCGGGGGTCCCCTGCCTGTGGGGGTGGTCAGGGGGGTCCCCTGGCTGTGGGGATGGTCAGGGGGGTCCCCTGGCTGTGGGGGTGGTCATGGGGGTCCCCTGCCCTGTGGGGGTGGTCCCGGGTGTCCCCTGCCACATGGGGGTGGTCCCGGGGGTCCCCTGCCATGTGGGGGTGGTCCCAGGGGTCCCCTGCCACATGAGGGTGGTCCTGGGGGTTCCCTGCCCTGTGGGGATGGTCAGGGGGTCCCCTGGCTGTGGGGGCTTTACCAGGGGGTTCCCTAACTGTGGGGGCAATCCTGGGGGTCCCCTGCCATGTTGGGGTGGTCCTAGGGGTCCCCCAGCTGTGGGGGTGGTCCCGGGGGTCCCCTGGCTGTGGGGTTGGTCCCAGGGGTCCCCTGCCCTGTGGGGATGGTCAGGGGGGTCCCCTGGCTGTGGGGGTGGTCCCGGGGGTCCCTTGCCACATGGGGGGGGTCCTAGGGGTTCCCTGCCCTGTGGGGATGGTCAGGGGGGTTCCCGGGCTGTGGGGTTAGTCCTGGGGGTCCCCCACCATGTGGGGTTGGTCCTGGGGGTCCCCTGCCACGTGGGGGTGGTCCCGGGGGGTCTCACCTCCTGCTGGAAGAGGCTCTGCCGGCCCCTCAGGGCCCTCAGGCGGCCCTGGCGCTGCTCGTGGCGCAGCTCGGGGGGAGGGGGCTCCAGGTACCCGATCAGGTCCCGCAGGCTCAGGATCATCCCCCCGATGGGCAGGGTGGGGGGCGCCGACCCCCGGGGGCGGCCCTGCAGGCTCTCCAGGCTCCTGGGGGGGGAAAGGGGGGGTCAGACCACCACGGAGCCCCACGGACCACCCACAGCACCCACAGACCCCAGGGACCCCCGCAGCACCCACAGAGATCCACAGGAGCCCACTGGGGCAGCCCTGCAGGCTCTCCAGGCTCCTGGGGTAACTGGGGAGTCAGACCACCAGGGACCCCCAGCTGAGCAGCCTCACAGATCCCCAGGGACAATCCCAGAGCACCCACAGCACCCACAGAGCCCCGGGGGCCCCTGCAGGCTCTCCCAGGCTCCTGTGGAGGGGTGGTCAGGACGTCACCAGAGCTGCATGGACCAGCCCACGGCACCCACAGAGCCTCGGGGCGGCCCTGCAGGCTCTCACGCTCCTGGGAGAGAGGGGCTCGCCCGCCATCAGGCCCTCAGGACCACGCACAGCATCTCCACAGAGCCCCCACAGCACCCACAGCACCCACAGACCCCCGGGGGCGGCCCTGCAGGCTCTCCAGGCTCCTGGGGATAAGGGGGTCAGACCACCACGGACCCCCCACAGCACCCACAGCACCCACAGATCCCCCACAGCACCCACAGACCCCCCGGGGGCGGCCCCTGCAGGCCCTCCAGGCTCCTGGGGGAAAAGGGGGTCAGACCACCAGGGACCCCCCACAGTACCCAGAGACCCCCCACAGCACCCACAGATCCCCAGGGACACCCCAGAGAACCCACAGCACCCACAGACCCCCGGGGGCGGCCCTGCAGGCTCTCCAGGCTCCTGGGGGGGAAAGGGGGGGGTCAGACCACCAGGGACCCCCCACAGCACCCACAGACCCCCAGAGACCCCCCACAGCACCCACAGACCCCCATATCACCCACAGACCCCCCACAGCACCCACAGACCCCCGGGGGCGGCCCTGCAGGCTCTCCAGGCTCCTAGGGGGTGGAAAGGGGGGGTCAGACCACCACGGACCCCCATGGACCACCCACAGCACCCACAGAGCCCCCGGGGGCGGCCCTGCAGGCTCTCCAGGCTCCTGGGGAAAGGAAGTCAGACCACCACGGACCCCCACAGTACCCAGAGACCCCCCACAGCACCCACGACCCCAGAGACCCCACAGCACCCACAGCAGACTCTCCGGGGCGGCCCTGCAGGCTCTCCAGGCTCCTGGGGGGAAGGGGAGTCAGGCCACCACGGACCCACATGGACCACCCACAGCACCCACAGACCCCAGGGCCCCTGCAGGCCCCAGGCTCCCGGGACCACGGGAGTCAGCCCACCAGGGACTCTCACAGCACCACAGACCACCCACAGGAGCCACAGACCCAGGACCCCCACAGAACAGGACCCCCCACAGCACCCACAGAACCCACGGACCATATCACCCACAGCACCCTCAGACCCAAAGGCCCTGCAGGCTCTCCAGGCTCCTGGGGAAAAGGGGGTCAGACCACCACAGACCCCCACTAGCACCCACAGCACCCCACAGCACCCACAGATCCCCAGCACCCACAGACCCACAGACCTCTGTCACCCACAGACCCCCACAGCACCTGCAGCCCCCAGCACCTACAGACCCCAGGACCCCCACAGCACCCACAGACCCCAGGACCCCCAAACCTGATGAAGGCCCCGTAGAGCCGCGTGGTGCTGAAAACCATCCCCAGGACCCCCAGAAGACCCTCAGGACCCTCCAGAAGACCCCCAGGACCCCCAGAACCCCCAAACCTGATGAAGGCCCCATAGAGCCCAGTGGTGCTGAAGACCATCCCCAGGACCCCAGGACCCCCAGAAGACCCCAGGACCCCAGGACCCCCAGAAGACCCCAGGACCCCCAGACCTGATGAAGGCCCCGTGAGGCCCGTGGTGCTGAAAACCATCCCCAGGACCCCCAGGACCCCCAGAAGACCCCAGGACCCCAGGACCCCCAGACCTGATGAAGGCCCGTAGAGCCCGGTGGTGCTGAAAAGCCATCCCTAGGACCCCCAGAAGACCCCAGGACCCCCAAGACCCCCAGACCTGATGAAGGCCCCGTAGAGCCCAGTGGTGCTGAAAAACCATCCCTAGGACCCCCAGAAGACCCCAGGACCCCCAGGACCCCCAGACCTGATGAAGGCCCCGTAGAGGCCCCGTGGTGCTGAAGACCATCCCTAGGACCCCCAGAAGACCCCCAGGACCCCCAGGACCCCAGGACCCCCAGACCTGATGAAGGCCCGTAGAGCCCCGTGGAGCTGAAAACATCCCCAGGACCCCCAGGACCCCAGAAGACCCCAGGACCCCAGAACTCCCCAGACCTGATGAAGGCCCCGTAGAGCCCTGTTGTGCTGAAAACCATCCCCAGGACCCCCCAGAAGACCCCCAGGACCCCCCAGACCTGATGAAGGCCCCGTAGAGCCCCGTGGTGCTGAAAACCATCCGGGCCGCCTGCGACTCCTGGTGCTGGGAGCGGGTGAGGGTCAGTGCATCGTCCATGTGCCCCTCCTGGTGCAGGATGGCCTGGGGGGGGCACAAGGGGGGTCAGAGGGACCCGCAGGGACCCTCCTGATCCCACAGAGACCCACAAGGACCCCCCAGACCCACAGGGACCCCCCCCAGACCCACAGGGACCCCCCTGGAGCCCATGTGCCCCTCCTGGTGCAGGATGGCCTGGGGGGGGCACAGGGGGGTCAGAGGGACCCCCAGGGACCCCCCCGAACCCACAGAGACCCACAGGGACCCCCAGACTCAGAGGGACCCCCAGACCCACAGGGACACCCCAAACCCACAAGGACCCCCCCAGACCCACAGGGACCCCCCCAGACCCACAGGGACCCCCCCAGAGGCTCCAAGAACCCACGTGCCCCTCCTGGTGCAGGATGGCCTGGGGGGGCACAGGAAGTCAGAGGACTAGGGACCCCCGAATCCACAGAGACCCACAAGGACCCCCCAGACCCACAGGGACACCCCCAGACCCACAGGGCCCCCTGGTGCAGGATGACCTGGGGGGGGGGCACAGAAGGGTCAGAGGGACCCCCAGGGACCCTCCCGAATCCACAGAGACCCACAAGGACCCCCAGACTCATAGGGACCCCCAGACCCACAAGGACCCCCAGACCCACAGGGACCAACAGGGACCCCCCCAGAGCCCACGTGCCCCTCCTGGTGCAGGATGGCCTGGGGGGGGGGCACAGGGGGGTCAGAGGGACCCCCAGGGACCCCCCTGAACCCACAGAGACCCACAAGGACCCCCAGACCCACAGGGACCCCCCCAGACCCACAGGGACCAACAGGGACCCCCCCAGAGCCCACGTGCCCCTCCTGGTGCAGGATGGCCTGGGAGGCACAGAGAGTCAGAGGACCCCAGGGACCCCCCTGAACCCACAGAGACCCACAAGGACCACCCCAGACCCACAGGGACCCCCCAGACCCACAGGGACCCCCCTGGAGCCCACGTGCCCCTCCTGGTGCAGGACGACCTGGGGGGGGCACAGGGGGGTCAGAGGGACCCCCAGGGACCCCCCCAAATCCACAGAGACCCCCCAGACTCAGAGGAACACCTCCAGACCCACAAGGACCCCCCCAGACCCACATGGCCCTCCAGAGCCCATGTGCCCCTCCTGGTGCAGGATGGCCTGGGGGGGGGCACAGGGGGGTCAGAGGGACCCCCAGGGACCCCCCTGAACCCACAGAGACCCACAAGGACCCCCCCAGACCCACAGGGACACCCCCAGACCCACAAGGACCCCCCCAGACCCACAGGGACACCCCCCAGGCACACAGGGACTCCCCAAACCCACAAGGACCCCCCAGACCCACAGGGACACCCCCAGACCCACAGGGACCCCCCAGAGGCCCCAAGAACCCACATGCCCCTCCTGGTGCAGGATGGCCTGGGGGGGGCACAAGGGGTGTCAGAGGGACCCCCAGGGACCCTCCTGAACCCACAGTGAACGACCAGGACCCCCAGACCCACAGGGACCCCCAGGCCCTGGCACTCCCCAGGCCCACAGGGACCCCCAGACCCACAGGGACCAGCAGGGACCCCAGAGCCCACCTACCCCTCGGTGGTGCAGGACCAGCCATAAAGCCCCCCCACCTTGGAGCCCCCAGGGTGGGAGTTTTGAGAGTCTCACCTTCCTCTTGAGCAGCCCCAGGCGCAGGGCCTGTGAGGTCAGGGGCGCACTGTGACCCAGAGCCCGCTGCTGCCGTGCTGCAGGAAGCACAGAGACTCCCCATACTTGATCTCGGGGGGCCCCATCCCCTCCACGTCCCGCTTGGGGGCCACCTCCAGCTTCTCCTGTGGGATTTGGGGGGACACAGGGGGGTCAGAGGGGCTGGGGGGCACAGGGAGAGGTCAGGGGGGTCAGGGGGGACATCAGGGATCAGGGGGGACAGGAGGTCCCATCCTCCATGTCCAGCTTGGGGGCCACCTCCAGCTTCTCCTGCGCGGGATTTGGGAAATCAGGGATCAGGGGGGATCAGGGGGGACAGGGAGGCCCCATCCCCTCCATGTCCCGTTTGGGGGCCACCTCCAGCTTCTCCTGTGGGATTTGGGGGGGAAAATCAAGGATCAGGGGGGCAGGGAGGTCCCATCCCCTCCATGTCCCCTTTGGGGGCCACCTCCAGCTTCTCCTGCGGGATTTGGGGGGACAGGGAGGGTCAGGGGGGACAGGGAGGTCCCATCCCCTCCACGTCCCGCTTGGGGGCCACCTCCAGCTTCTCCTGTGGGATTTGGGGGGGGAAATCAGGGATCAGGGGGGACAGGGAGGTCCCATCCCCTCCACGTCCCGCTTGGGGGCCACCTCCAGCTTCTCCGTAGGATTTGGGGGGAAAATCAGAGAGATCAGGGGGACAGGAGGTCCCATCCCTCCACGTCCCGGCAGGGGCCACCTCCAGCTTCTCCTGTGGGATTTGGGGGGAAAATCAGGGATCAGGGGGACAGGGGGAGGGACAGGAGGGTCCATCCCTCCACGTCCAGCTTAGGGCCACCTCCAGCTTCTCCTGCGGATTTGGGGGACAGGGAGGGTCAGAGGGCTGGGGGCTGCAGGGAGGTCAGGGATCAGGGGGACAGGAGGTCCATCCTCCACGTCCCCCTTGGGGGCCACCTCCAGCTTCTCCTGCGGGATTTGGGGTGCACAGGGAGGGTCAGGAGGGTCAGGGGGGGACAGGGGGGTCCCATCCCCTCCATGTCCCATTTGGGGGCCACCTCCAGCTTCTCCTGTGGGATTTGGGGGGACAGGGAGGGTCAGAGGGGACAGGGAGGTCCCATCCTCCACGTCCCACTTAGAGGCCACCTCCAGCTTCTCCTGCGGGATTTGGGGGCACAGGAGTGTCAGAGGGGCTGGAGGGCTGCAGGGAGGGTCAGGGGCTGAGGGGACAGGAGGCCCCATCCCTCCACGTCCCACTGGGGGACACCTCCAGCTTCTCCTGTGGGATTTGGGGGAAAATCAAGGATCAGGGGGCAGGGAGGTCCCATCCCTCCATGTCCCCTTTGGGAGCCACCTCCAAGCTTCTTCTGCGGGATTTGGGGGGGACATCAAGGGATCCAGGGGGGACAGGAGGCCCCATCCCCTCCATGTCCTACTTAGGGGCCACCTCCAGCTTCTCCTGTGGGATTTGGGGGAAAATCAGGGATCAGGGGGACAGGGGGTCCCATCCTCCACATCCCTTTGGGGGCCACCTCCAGCTATCTCCTGCGGGATTTGGGGGACACAGGGGTCAGAGGGGTTCAGAGGGAGCTGGGGACACAGGGAGGGTCAGGGGGACAGGGGGGGACAGGGAGGTCCCATCCCCTCCATGTCCCCTTTGGGGGCCACCTCCAGCTTCTCCTGCGGGATTTGGGGGGAGAGGGAGGGTCAGGAGGGTCAGGGGACATCAGGGATCAGGGGGACAGGGGGTCCCATCCCTCCACGTCTCTAGCTTGGGGCCACCTCCAGCTTCTCCTGCGGGATTTGGGGGAAAATCAGGGGATCAGGGGGACAGGAGGTCCCATCCCCTCCACGTCCCGCTTGGGGGCCACCTCCAGCTTCTCCTGCGGGATTTGGGGGGGAAAATCAGGGATCAGGGGGCTGGGGGACATCAGGATCAGGGGACAGGGTGGTCCCATCCCCTCCACGTCCCGCTTGGGGGCCACCTCCAGCTTCTCCTGTGGGATTTGGGGGGGAAAATCAGGGATCAGGGGGGACAGGGAGGTCCCATTCCCTCCATGTCCCCTTTGGGGGCCACCTCCAGCTTCTCCTGTGGAGTTTGGGGGAAAATCAGGGATCAGGGGGACAGGGGGACAGGGAGGTCCCATCCCCTCCACGTCCCGCTTGGGGGCCACCTCCAGCTTCTCCTGCAGGGTTTGGGGGAACAGGGAGGGTCAGGGGGGACAGGGGGGGACAGGGAGGCCCCATCCCCTCCACGTGCTGCTTGGGGGCCACCTTCAGCTCCTCCTGTGGGATTTGGGGGGGGACACAGGGGGGTCAGAGGGGACAGGGAGGTCCCATTCCCTCCAGGGCAGGGGACAGGGCTGGGGACAGGTCAGGGGACACTCTGGGGACACAGCAGTGCCACTCCCAAAGGCTGGAAGTGGTGGCAGGGTTGGGGACAGGGCTGGGGACAGGGCTGGGGACAGGGAGCAGGACAGGACAGGGCAGGGGACACTCTGGGGACACTCTGGTGACGCGGCGGTGCCACCCCCGAAGGACAGGGCTGGGGACACTCTGGTGACGCGGCAGTGCCACCCCCAAAGGACAGGGTTGGTGACAGGGAGCAGGACAGGGCAGGGGACACTCTGGGGACACAGCAGTGCCACTCCCGAAGGCTGGAAGTGGTGGCAGGGCTGGGGACAGGGCTGGGGACAGGGAGCAGGACAGGGAGCAGGACAGGACAGGGCAGGGGACACACTGGGGACACTCTTGTGACACGGTGGTGCCACCCCCAAAGGACAGGGCTGGGGACAGGAAGCAGGACAGGGCAGGGGACACACTGGGGACACTCTGGTGACGTGGTGGTGCCACCCCCGAAGGGACAGGGCTGGGGACAGGGCAGGTGACAGGGAGCAGGACAGGGCAGGGGACATGCTGGGGACACTCTGGGGACACGGCAGTGCCACCCCCAAAGGACAGGGTTGGTGACAGGGAGCAGGACAGGGCAGGGGACACTCTGGGGACACTCTGGTGACACGGCAGTGCCACCCCTGAAGGACAGGGCTGGTGACAGGGCTGGGGACAGGGAGCAGGACAGGGCAGGGGACACTCTGGTGACGTGGCAGTGCCACCCCCACCTTGGAGGCGCGGAAGCAGAAGGCGGCCACCGCGTGGTGGCCGCGGTGGCCTCGACCATGGCCAGCCCGGTGGCCTCGGTGAGCGCCAGGTAGCGGCCCGTGGTGACGTGGCGCAGCCGGAAGGGCTGTCCCCAGCGCAGGTGGCTCCCGCTCCAGCTGTGGGGACACAGGGGACACATCTGTCACCAGGGGGCATGGGGGGACATGGGGGGGACAGGGGGGACAGCATGGGGAGGGTCATGTCCCCAGCGCAGGTGGCTCCCGCTCCAGCTGTGGGGACACAGGGGACACATCTGTCACCAGGGGCATGAGGAGGACATGGGGGGACATGGGGGGGGTCATGGGGACATGGGGAGGGTCATGTCCCCAGCGCAGGTGGCTCCCGCTCAGCTGTGGGAGACACAGGGGACATCTGTCACCAGGGGACATGGAGAGGACATGGGGGACATGGGGAGGAGGGACAGGGGGACATGGGGGAGGGGTCATGGGGACACGGGAGGACATGGGGACATAGGGAGGGGTGATGGGGACATGGGGAGACATAGAGGAGGACGTGGGGAGGGGTCAGGGGACATGGGGGACACAGGGGACACTGGGGGACATGGGAGGGTCATGGAGACATGGGAGGACATGGGGAGGGATCATGGGATGGACATGGGGGACATGGGAGGGTCAGGGGACAGGGGGACACTGAGGGGACATGGGGAGACATGGAGAGGGTCATTGGGGACACGGGAGGACATGAGGGACATAGGGAGGGTGATGGGGACATGGGAGACATGGGAGGAGACATGAGGAGGTGTCAGGGGACAGGAGGGGACACAGGGGACATGGGGACATGGGAGGGTCATGGGGACATGGGAGACATGGAGGACATGGGGAGGGGATCATGGGGACATGGGAGGACATAGGGAGGGGTCATGGGGGACATGGGAGGACACGGGGACATGGGGGACATGGGGAGGGGGTCATGGGGACATGGGGACACTGGGAGGACATGGGGTGGGGTCATGGGGGACATGAGGGATGGGGGTCATGGGGGACATGGGAGGGACCTGGGGAGGAGTCATGGGGACATGGGGGGGACATCATGGGAGACACGGGGGGAGGGGGTCATGGGGACATGGGGGGACATGGGGAGGGGTCATGGGGACATGGGGAGGGGTGATGGGGACATGGGGAGACATGGGGACAGGGCATGAGGGACATGGGGGGACATGGGGACACAGGGGACATGGGGACATGGGAACATGGGGGACATGGGGAGGGGTCAGGGGGACATGGGGGACATGGGAGGACATGGGGAGGGTCAGGGGGACAGAGGGACACAGGGGGACATGGGACATGGGAACATGGGGGACATGGGGAGGGGTGATGGGGGACACGGGGAGGGGCACATGGGGGACACAGGGAGGGTGTGGGGGGCCAAAGGGTGGGGACACAGGGCTGGGTGCCAGGGACACGGGCACACGTAGGAACACAGGGACACGCTCCAAGGACCCCACCCCGAGCCCAAACCCCTCAGGGGGGCTCCCCAGCCCCGAGGGGACCCTCGGTGTCCCCAGGGGGGGCCGGTGGCACCCCGTGTGTCCCCCCCCACCCCGTACCTGATGCGCAGGGGCTCGAGGCGCCACAGGGACCTGGCGTGGGCACACACGGCACCGCCCTCGTAGTTCACCACGCTGCTGGGGGGGTGGCACACACACACACAGAGAGGTCAGCGGGCTGGGACACCCCTGTGTGTGTGTGTGTCCCCCACCCCAAATTTGGAGACCCCCACCTGCGCTCCTCGCCCTGCTCGGGGGCCGTGGGGGTCAGACACTCGTCCATGTGGCCGTGGAACAGGCGCATGACGTGGCCCCCCGTGACGACCTGGGGACAAGGGGGTCAGGGGCACCCCGGGGACACCCCCTGGCCCAAGGTGGAGACCCCACCCCCCTCTCCCCCAGTCACCTTCCTCGGAGCCCGAGCAGATGGGGTTCATGTTCCACAGCGTCTGCATGAACGAGGCGTCCACCTGCAGCTCCCCCGAGGCCGTGGACAGGTGCTGGGACACGGGGGGGACACGGGGGGGACATATGGGGGACACGTGTGTGACCTGACCAGGAGCAGGTCAGGGGGGTGGTCCCCATGTCCCTCCATGTGCCCCCTGTGTCCCCATGTCCTCCCTGTGTCCCCATGTCCCTCCATGTGCCCCCTGTGTCCCCATGTCCCCCCTGTGTCCCCATGTCCCTCCATGTCCCCCCTGTGTCCCTGTGTCCCCCCTGTGTCCCCATGTCCCTCCATGTCCCCCCTGTGTCCCCATGTCCCTCCATGTCCCCCCTGTGTCCCTCGTGTCCCCCCTGTGTCCCCATGTCCCTCCCATGTCCCCCCATGTCCCCGTGTCTCCCCTGTGTCCCCTATGTCCCTCTATGTCCCCTCCAGGTCCCCTGTGTTCCCATGTCCTCCATGCCCCATGTCCCCTATGTCCCTCGTGTCTCCATGTCCCCATGTCCCCATGTCCCCATGTCCCCCATGTGTCCTCATACAGGTATCTCTAGGGACACTGACCAGGACCTGAGCAGGTCAGGCCTGTGTCCCCATGTCCCCCTAGTGTCCCCGTGTCCCCCTGTGTCCCCTCATAGTCCCCCAGTGTCCCCCTGTCGTCCGTCCTCTGTGTCCCCATGTCCCCTATGTCCCCTAGTGTCCCCCTGTGTCCCCATGTCCCCCATGTCCCTCTAGTGTCCCCTACCTGTCCCCTATGTCCCCTTGCTGTCCTCTGTGTCCCACTTATGTCCCCATGTCCCCCTGTGTCCCCCATGTCCCCGCATGTCCCCCCATGCCAGGTATCTCTCAGAGGACACGCTGACCAGGATCAGGTCAGGGGCTGTGTCCCCATGTCCCCCATGTGTCCCGTGATCCCCCAATGTCCCTCCATGTCCCCCTGTGTTCCCATGCCCCCCCTGTGTCCCTGTGTCCCCCCTGTGTCCCCATGTCCCCCTCTGTGTCACTGTGTCCCCCCAGTGTCCCCTCTGTCCCCCCATACCAGGTATCTCTCGGAGGACACGCTGACCAGGAGCAGGTCAGGGTGTCCCTGTGTCCCCCAGTGTCCTCCGTGTCCCCCTGTGTCCCCATGTCCCTCCATGTCCCCCTGTGTCCCCATGTCCCCTGTGTCCCCGATGTCCCCCTGTGTTCCCCATGTCCCCATGTCCCCCATGTGTCCCCATGTCCCTCTGTGCCCCATGTCCCCCATGTGTCCCCATGTCCCCTGTGTCCCCCTGTGTCCCCATGTCCCCCTCGTGTCCCCCAGTGTCCCCCTAGTGTCCCCATGTCCCTCACTAGTGTCAGACCTATGTCACCATGTCCTCCTGTGTCCCCATGTGTCCCTGTGTCCCCCATGTCCCCCTGTGTCCCCCCATGTCCCCCTGTCCCCCATACCAGGTATCTCTCGGAGGACACGCTGACCAGGATCAGGTCAGGGAGCTCGTCTGTCCCCATGTCCCACCCTGTGTCCCCCTGTGTCCCCCATGTCCCCCATGTCCCCTATGTCCCTCATGTCCCTCCATGTCCCCCTGTGTCCCCATGTCCCCCTGTGTCCCCATGTCCCCCTGTGTCCCCCCTGTGTCCCCCCAATGTCCCCCCCATCCCAGGTACCTCCTCGGAGGACCCGCTGACCAGCTCAGGTCAGCGTTGTCCCCCATGTCCCCTGTGTCCCCCCTGTGTCCCCATGTCCCCTCCTGTGTCCCTGTGTCCCCCGTGTCCTCCCTGTGTCCCCATGTCCCCCTGTGTCCCCCTGTCCCCCTGTCCCCCCATGCCAGTGTATCCCCAGAGACCGCTGACCAGGATCAGGTCAGGGCTGTGCCCCCATGTCCCCCTGTGTCTCCATGTCCCCCCGTGTCCCCATGCTGTCCTGTGTCCCCCCATGTCCCTCTGTCCCCCATACCAGGTATCTCTCAGAGGACACGCTGACCAGGATCAGGTCAGGGGTTGTGTCCCCATGTCCCCCCTGTGGTCCCCCTGTGTCCCCGTGTCCCCCTCATGTGCCCCCCATGACCCCCAGTGTGTCCCTCAGGACACGCTGACCACGGATCAGGTCAGGGTTGTGTCCCCCACTGTTCCCCCTGTGTCCCCATGTGCCCCCTGTGTCCCCCGTGTCCCCCCTCTGTCCCCCCCATACCAGGTATCTCTCAGAGGACACGCTGACCAGGATCAGGTCGTCCCCCACCCGAACCTTCTCGCCCTCGGAGCGCTGTTTGGACGCCGGGTGCATCGTCCACCAGCACGCCTCGCCTGGGATAGGGGGGCACCCCAAAAAGTCAGGGACCCCTCAAATGGGGACCCCTGACACCCCAGGGACGCCCCCAAACCCACAACACCCCCAGAGTGGGTGCCCCAGAACCGGGGGACCCCTAAACCCCCCCCCAGCACAACCCAAGGGGACCCCCAAACGCTCCCCAACCCTCCCTCACAAAGCTCAGGGGACCCACCAGAGCACTCCCCAGCCTCGGGGGTTGCCCCCAGGGCCTCCCAAACCTCAGGGTGCCCCCAGAGCCCCCAAACCCCAGGGTGCCCCCAGAGCCCTCCCAAACCCCAGGGTGCCCCCAGGCCCCTCACCCGTCGCGTCCTTCTGCAGCCCCACGTCGAAGGCCAGTTTGTCGGTGACGGAGCGGGAGGTGGTCAGGCAGCTCAGGTACTGGGGGTGGGGACACACCCCGTTATGGGGGTCCCCCAGACCCTCTGAGCCCCCCTGAGCCCCTGGCCCCCCAGAGCCCCCCAAGCCCCCCCAGACCCCAAACTCACCATGCCACTGTGGGAGTGCCTCAGCAGGATGGCGTGGCCGTAGAGCAAGCGTCCGGTGACCCCCACCCTGAGATGACTTGGGGGAAGGGGGGCACATTTTGGGGTCAGGGGACCTCAAATCCCCAGGGTTCCCCAGACCTCTCTTAGTACCTCCAAAGCATCCCTGAGCCCCACCCACAAAAAAAAATCCTCCTGTGTCATTAAGAGCCCCTTGTGTGACCCCCCCCACCCTGAGAGCGACTTGGGGGGAAGGGGGCACATTTTGGGGTCAGGGAGACCCCAAAATCCCCCGGGTTCCCCCAGACCTCTCTTGTACCTCCAAAGCATCCCTGAGCCCCCCCAAAAAAATCCTCCTGTGTCATTAAGAGCCCCTTGTGTGACCCCCCACCCTGAGAGTGACTTGGGGGCACAGGGGGACCCCAAAATCCCTGAGCCCCCCAAGCTCCCCTCTGTGCCCCCAAAACCTCACCGAGCCCCCCACTCCCATATCAGGATCCCCAACATGTTTGGGATCTCCCCATTTCAGGGTGTCGTCCCCCCCCTCATTTCGGGTCCCCAATTTCAGGTCACTCCCCAAGTCCCCTCAGATTTGGGGTCCCCCATTTCGGGGTCCTCCACGTCGAGACCCTCAGCTCGAGGTACATCCACAGTAGTCCCCCAAAATCAGGGTCCCCACTTTTGGGGCGGGGGATCACCCCATGCCAGGACTCCCAACATATTTGGGACCCCCACCTGTTTTGGGGTGGTCCTGTTTTGGGGTGGCCCCGTTTTGGGGTGGCCCCTGTTTGGGGTTCCCCACCCGGGGTGCCCCCACGCCTCCTCCCGCCCGCGTCACACTTTGGGGGGTCCATGTGGGAGCTTTTGGGGGCTGTGGATGGGTGGGATGGGGGAGGGGCACACACAGACCCCTGGGTCCATGCAGGGGGTGAGAGGTGGGAGGTGGGCAGAGCCCCCCAAAAATGCTTTTGGGGTGGGCAGGTGAGGGGAGGAGGAGGAGGAGGAGAGGAAGGGGGATGGAGGTGAGATGAGCAGTTTGGGGGGTCAGGGGGTCACTGCACCACGGTACCACCTACCCACTTATCCAGGTCGACCCCTGGGTGGCGGGGGGGGGAGAGAAGATGAGGGGGTCACAGGGGGCTACGACCCCCCCCCAAAAGCACCAGGGGCTCCCCAAAACCCCCAGAGACCCCAAAATCTCCTCCAGGGACCTCAAAATCTCCTCCAGGGACCCCAAAATCTCCTCCAGGGACCTCAAAAAACTCCTCCAGGGACTCCCCTGCAGGGGCCTCCTTCAGGACAACCCTCCTCCCCCCCAAAAGGTGTTTACAGAATCCTAAAACCCCCTCCAGGACGCCCAAACCCCTCCCCAGAACCCCCTAAACCCCCTCCTCGACCCCATGATCCTAAACCCCCACCAAGGATCCCCAGGGTCTTAAAGCCCCCCCCCAGGGCTCCCCAAACCCTCCCCGGGGACCCCAATTTCCCCCGGTAGGAGCAAAATCCACCCCCAAACCCTCCGTGGGACCCCCACACCTCCTGCCCTGTGCCTCTAGGTTCTGGGTGCCCCCAGGCGCTCCCCCGGGGCTCTGGGTGCCCCAGTTCTGGGTGCCCCAGGGCTCCCCCAGGACCCACCCGCTGCCCATCTCGGAGCTGTTGGCCAACATCTCCTGCAGGGCCTGCACCGACAGCGACTGCTCCAGCACGAAGCAGCACACGGCCAGGTCGGGGGCACATTCTGGGGAAGCACAGAGGGGGTTGGGGCACAGTTCATGGGGGACACCAGGACACCCCAAATCAGGGGTCCCGCAGCCCCCCAGCCCCTCAGGACCACCCTCATCGCTCACCCTGTGCAGAACAGGTGGGCTCCCTGTTTTTCTCCAGCCCCCAAATCCACTCCCCATCCAGGATGCCCCTTCCCGGGTTCTCTCAGCTCCCCAGCCCCCCCACCCCGAGTTTGGGGTCCCACAGAGCTGGGGTCCCCACCTGGGCGTTCGAGGTGGGTTCCAGGGAGCAGAGGCGGTTCCCGAAGCCCTCGGCCGACAGGCACAGCTTGAGCTGCTCCTTCAGCAGCGTGGTGGTGCACTGCAGGACCACCTCGTCGTCCTGGGGGGGCACCCGGGGGGGGAATCAGCACCCAAAAATACCCCTGTGTACCCCAAAATACCCCTCGGCACCCCAAAATACCCCTCCTGCTCCCCAGGACACCCCCCGGCAACCCAGACCCTCCCCATGCCCCACTGCACCCCTGTGGGACCCCCAGGGCTGGGGGCACTGCAGGACCACCTCGTCGTCCTGGGGGGGCACCCGGGGGGGGGATCAGCACCCAAAAATACCCTCTGGTACCCCAAAATACCCCTCGGCACCCCAAAATACCCCTCCTGCTCCCCAGGAAACCCCTCAGCACCCCAAACCCACCCCGTGCCCCACTGCACCCCTGTGGGACCCCCAGGGCTGGGGGGCACTGAAGGAACCACCTCGTCATCCTGGGGGGGCACCCGGGGGGGAATCAGCACCCAAAAATACCCCCCGGTACCCTAAAATACCCCTCGGCACCCCAAAATACCCCACCTGCTCCCCAGGACACCCCCCAGCACCCCAAACCTCCCCATTCCCCACTGCACCCCTGTGGGACCCCCAGGGCTGGGGGGCACTGCAGGGACCACCTCGTCGTCCTGGGGGGGCACCCGGGGGATCAGCACCCAAAATACCCCCGGTACCCCCAAAATACCCCCCTCCTGCTCCCCAGGACACCCCCCAGCACCCCAGGACACCCCAGACCCTCCCCATGCCCCACTGCACCCCTGTGGGACCCCCAGGGCTGGGGGGCACTGCAGGGACCACCTCGTCGTCCTGGGGGGCACCCGAGGAGTGATCCAGCACCCAAAATACCCCCTGGTACCCCAAAATACCCCTCAGCACCCCAGGACACCCCCAGCACCCCAAGACACTCCCAATCCTCCCATGCCACTGCACCCCTGTGGGACCCCCAGGGCTGGGGGGCACTGCAGGGACCACCTCGTCGTCCTGGGGGGGCACCCGGGGGGGGATCAGCACCCAAAAATACCCCCCGGTACCCCAAAATACCCCTCAGCACCCCAGGACACCCCCCAGCACCCCAGGACACCCCAAACCCTCCCGTGCCCCTCTGCACTCCTGTGGGACCCCCAGGGCTGGGGGGCACTGCAGGGACCACCTCGTCGTCCTGGGGGGGCACACGGTGGGGGATCAGCACCCAAAAATACCCCCCGGTACCCCAAAATACCCCTCCTGCTCCCCAGGACACCCCCCGGCACCCCAAACCTCCCCATGCCCCCACTGCACCCTGTGGGACTCCCCAGGGCTGGGGGCACTGCAGGACCACCTCGTCATCCTGGGGGGCACACGGGGGATCAGCACCCAAAAATACCCCCGAGCACCCCAAAATATGCCCCTGGCACCCAGGAAACCCCCCTGCACCCCAGGACACCCCAAACCCTCCCCATGCCCCACTGCACCTCTGTGGGACCCCCAGGGCTGGGGGGCACTGCAGTGACCACCTCGTTAATCCTGGGGGCACCTGGGAGTTTCAGCACCCAAAATACCCCTGTGTACCCCAAAATACTCCTCGGCACCCCAAAATACTCCGTCTTGTACACCAGGACAACCCCCAGCACCCCCAAACCTTCCTCGTGCTCCCACTGCACCCTGTGGGACCCCCAGGGCTGGGGGCAGCTGCAGGTACCACCTCGTTAGCTGTGGGGCACCAGGGGATCAGCACCCCAAAAATACCCCCCTGGTACCTCAAAGTATGCCCCGGGCCCCAGAAACCCCCCACCTCAGAAGCCTCTCCTCGGTGCCCCACTGCAATCCTCTGTGGGACTCCCAGGAGCTGGGGGCACTGCAATGACCACTCATCATCCTGGGGGGCACCGGGCAGGTGAGCACCCGCAAATACTCCTACGGCACCCCAGGACACTCCCTGGTACCCCAAAACCCCCCATGACCCCCCCACAGCACCTCACGACTCCCCACAGCACCCCTGGGTGACCCCCAATCCTATGAGGGTCAGGACTCCTGGGTGCCCCCCCAGCCCTATTGGGGGTGTCAAAGAGGTCAGGACCCCTGGGTGCCCCCTCAAACCACTCCTAGGGGGTGTCAAGAGGGGTCAGGACCTCCTGGGTGCCCCCCTCAACCCTCCTAGGGGTGTCAAGAGGGGTCAGGACCCCCTGGGTGCCCCCCCAAACCCTCCTAGGGGGGTGTCAAGAGGGGTCACGGACCCCTGGGTGCCCCCAAGCCCTCCTAGGGGTGTCAAGAGGGTCAGGACTCCTGGGTGCCCCCCAAACCCTCCTAGGGGTGTCAAAGGGTCAGGACCCCTGAGTGCTCCCTCAGCCCTATTGGGGGTGTCAAAAGGGTCACGACCCTGGGTGACCCTTCTCCCCTCCCCCCAGCATTCCATCCCCCCCACCTGCTCCTGTCACTGGGGGGCCCCGGGGCGGGGGAGGGTGGATTCCACCCGCGGGCCGGGGATGCCACGGGGGCGGCGGGGGATTGTGCCTCAGTTTCCCTCCCCAAATCCCCAAAATCCGCTGAGCTCAGCGTTTCCACGCCCTCCCCCTACCCCCTCAAGGTCACTCCCTTGCCCCCCCCACCTCCCTTCGGGGCCCCCAAACAATTCCCATGGTCTGATTTTGAGGCCAAACTGGGAGAAACTGGGCCAGAGCAACTGGGACGCCCCTCCCCGCCCCCCCATTCCACACCCCCTAGGGGGATCTGGTGTCGCCCCTCCCCCAGCAGCTGCTCCCCTCCCCCCTCGTGTTGCTTTTGGGATCCCGGGACAGGTGGGGAGGGGAGGGGGTGACACCCTCCTCCCAGTGTGTCCCAGTGCTCCCAGTTAGGCTGGTGGCCCCCAAACAACACCTCCCAGTACTCCCAGTGCTCCCCAGCATCTCCCAGTGCCCCCAGTGCCCGCAGAC